CTGTCCTTGCCCTTTGTATCTTCCACACGTGGCAGCAGACGGAGAGAGAGGGAGGGGAGTGTCACCGGGGCTCTTAAGGGTCAGGCCTGCAAGTGCCCCCTTTCCACTAGCCAGACTTTCCACTGGCCAATATATTGCAAGGGAGACTGAGCTACATGCTCCTCCATGGGCTCCGTAAGAAAATACATTGTCTGCCTCACTGAGACTCTCAAGTCACTTCTGTCCTCTGGTGGGTTTTGGGACCAGGATCTGAGCTCATCACTGAAGAGCGGTAATCGCTCCCCTTGGTCGTCCCCCCTCACTGTGATTCTCTCGAGTATCTGAGAAACAGGCTGCTGGCTGTCATTCTCATCATAGTCAACCTCCAGGTTCAGATTTTCGTGCCAAACGTGGCACAGCTCTAGAGAAAGGGCTTAAACTGAGGTCTAAGCGCACTTTCGATGCTCCTGGGTGTGGGGTCCCCAGCCACCAGCCCTTTATCCACTGTGGGGCTGGTCCTGACCCCCAGCAATGCTGACTCACTGCTCTTGGCGTGGGCTGCCCCCTCCCCGGGCTCTTGCCAGTTCTCTAAACACAGAAAAAACCCTTTTCTGGAAAAGAACCTCAAACATGTAGCAACACCTTTGAGTATTTGTGAGTAAAAGGTTGGAGTCTCTTATCTGAAGCATTAACTGGGGCGGGGGGGGGCAGCGCCACTTTATTTTTTTTTTAAAGGGGGGGAGGCAAGGACAATAGAATTGAATTCCATTCTCTTCCCAGAAGTCAGGTTGTGAAACTGGCCCCTGGTGATTAGGGGACGTGAGCAGCCCATCTGGGGCCAGCGACTGCCACCCCCCAGAGCTGGGCCGTGGTTCCCAGAGGATGCCCTGCCCTTGTCATTTCCCCTGCACAGTGAAACATGGGGACACCGCTTCTGAGAGGCAAGGGTCACGGGCACACACCTGAATCCCGTGTGGCCCTTGGTCTCCACCCCTCCGCCCTGTCCATCCCCCGCCTCCCGGGAGGATTCTGCAGCCCCTTGGGGTCCGACCTGCCTTCTGAATCTCCCAGTCAGAGCAGCGCCCGGTGTTGACCGAATTCATGGAATCAGGGCAGGTTCCCAGGAATGACGTGTGAGAGAGTGTGTCCCAGAGCATCCTTCCTCCCCTGCAGGTCGGTCATTTGCAGCCCGGCCATGCTCTGGCCACTGGGTTCTTTTAGAAGAAATGGGGTTTCCTGGTAAATGTGACGGGATGATCCCAAGCATGACTTTCTGTCCTTCTGAGGACAGAAGGGAGCTGCTGCCACTCCCAGGGGTTCATTTCCCGAGAAGTTTTCACCTTCACCCACCTTTACAAAAAAGGAAAACCTGGAAGCCTTTATTTAGGCTCCTCTAACGTTTGCCCAACCTGAGCCTTTCGGGACAGTCCCTGGAGGAAAGTCCTAGCCGTGCTGTGGCCGTGGAAGCCTCTGCTGACGCATAGTGGGGGGATTCACCGGGGAAGAGACGTAGTGAGGGGCTCCCAGGAGAGAGTATCTTGGAGTTAAACACCAGCCGCACCAGGCCCCTAAGCCGGGAAGCTGATGAGTCTCTGCCCCCCCCCACACACACACACACAATTTGACACAATCAACAGAGCGTTTCCAGGCCATTCCAGGTTCAAGGGCCGATTTCTTAGCAGAACAAGCCGTTCTGCCTTCTCCTGGGAAGCAAATATTTGCCCACAAATACGGAGCTAGTATGGAAACTCTGGCCAAGAGCACTGAGAAATATTAGCAATACAGCATTTCCCACCAACCCAACGCGACGGGACATTTGGTCCAGAGAGAACCGTTAGCAAACAGCTGTGTTTGTAGCCATTCTTTGAAAAGGACCTGGTTTGAACTTGCCAAGAAACCAACGTGTGCGGAAGCTAAGTGCTCGGGTCTGAATGTTTGTGCCCCTCTCCCCACCGAATTCATGTTTTAAACTTCCAACCCCCAAGGTGATGGTGTTGGGAGGTGGGGCCTTTGGGGTGTGATCAGGTCCGAGGGTGGAGCCGTCACGAATGAGAATCACTACTCGCCTCAGTGTCTCAGAAAAGAGTTTCTTAGCTCCGTCCACCACCTGAGGGTGCAGCAGGAAGGGGACAGCTCTGAACCGGGGGCCTGGCCGGTACTTCACGCTGCTGATGGGTTGATCTTGGACTCCCAGCCTCCAGGGCTGTGAGAATGAATTTCTGTTGTTGACAAGCCACCCAATCTGTGGTGTTTGGTCAGAGCGGCCGGGATGGACTCAGACACTAAGTAACGTGTTCATTACACCCACACGTTGGAAAGAGCACACGTGCTCTTCGGGGAAGCCGGACAGCATTAGACTGGAGCCAGTCAGCTGCCGTCTGCCCCCTTGTCCGAGGCCAACCTGGGCAGCAGGCTCTCACCTTCATCCCGGGAGACGCCCGCTCCCGAGGTTATCTTTCCTCTCGGCCTCTGGCGAGCTCATTTCCAGTAAGCCCCCCTCCACCCTCCCCTAATGCCTCCTCCGTGGCTTCCTCTTGGACATTTCCATCATCTGCAGTGTGCTCGCCTCGAAATCCCTCGGGGCACCACCTCCCACCGCTGCAGCTCGCCACGGCGGCCTGCTGGTCTCCCCAGGCCTCAGTTCCCTCCGGCCTCTCCTGTGCTCATCTCCTGCCCCACAGTTAGCTTGCAGCCCACAGTCCGCGGTTCAGACTCTGTCCTGCTAATTAATAGCCACTTTCACATGTGTTCAACCTCAACCGCAGTAATAAACACGATTTGCATATGGCCTAGGGTGGCGTATTTATATGCACACCCGTAGGTACATGCATCGGCCTCTCCCAACATGAGCCCAATTATTTAAAAACCTCCCCCTGGACATCAGTTCTTATAAATACAGCCCAAGTCCTTCCCTTATGTTCTCCAGGTTGTTGCAAGAGCCGTCTGTATAAACTGTAATAGTTTCCTCTGGCCAGTGTCACAAATTATCATCCATTCAGCATCTTAAAACAGCACAGTTGATTCCCTCACAGTCCCGGAAACCAGAAGCCTAAAGCCGAGGTGTTGACTGGACTGGCTCCCTCGGAGGCTGCGGGGCACAGTCTCTTCCCTTGTCTTCCCCGGTGTCTAGAAACTGCCTCGGCTTGTGGCTGCATCACTTCAACCTCTGGTTCCATTGCCCAACTTTGACCTTCTTGCTTCCCTCTCATGAGGACCCTTGTCATTCTCTTGGGCCCCCCTCAGATCATCCAGTATCACCCCCCCCCCATCTCCAGATCCTAACATCATCAGGTGCGAAGTCACTTTTACAGCTAAGGGAACATAGTCACAGGCTCTGGGATTGGCACCTGTGGACATCCCGGTGGGGTCGTGTGGTTATTGTCAACCACATGAGCCATCTTTGATTTCCTCGGGCTCCACTCTCTTTTCCACCTTTTCCAAGCAGGCTTCTGTCCCCACCCTCATCCCAACGCCTCTCAGAATGGTCCTGGATCCTCTGGGTTGCGGAAAACACGTCTCGTTCCCACTGTCCTTCCTGACCTCGTATAGCGCGGTGGCCGGTCAGAGCGAGGGGCAGGGCACCTGTGGGGACAGAGGTGGGAGTGCAGCAGTGAAAGAGCCGAGGCCTGGGCTCCGTCTGGCCCAGCATCTTCAGAGGGCTCTGGGTGGCATGTGGGTCTGCTGGACACCAGGCCGTCCCGGTCCCTTCCACTGTGACTTCCAGGGAAACCCAGGCGGCTGGACTGGGCACCTTTGCCGAGAATTGTGGTTCCGGGAGGATTTTGAAACCTGACCGGGATTGACTTGGGCTCTGCTGTCCGTGTGGGAACCAGGCGGTTCTGAAACTGCCTCCCCTCCTCCCCCTCGGGGGCCCAGGGCTGCCAAGCGGCTCCCACACACCTCCCCAGAAAGTCCCTGGCACCCCTCCCGGCCACCTTGCCGTTGACCTCCTGAGGTGTGAGAAGGAGGAAAGGAATCTGCGTTCCGACTGAGCCTTCCTTCCTCCTTTCTGAGAAGCAGCCCGGGCGCCCACGCCTGCCAGGCCGTCCGTCCTCGGGGCCCAGGCCGTCCGTCCCGGGAGCCCTCGGGGCCCGACCAGCCTGCTGGAGACGCTGGAAGAGCAGCCGGGCCCGGCTTGGAGCTAGTGTCAGATGCCAAGGCTGTGTGACAGGGGACCAGATAGCAGAAGTTCCTTTTCTCCCAGAACAGAAGCTTCTGGTCTGAAACCAGGGCGTTGACAGGGCCGCGCTGTCCCTGAGGTGCCAGGGGAGGGTCCTTCCTGGCTGCCCCAGCTGTCAGGCTGCCAGCCATCCGCTCGACCTCGGCTCACAGAGGCGCCGCTCCCGTCTCCACTCGCCGTCTTCCCTCGGCGTCTCCTCTCTTCTCAGAGGGCGGCCGGCCATGTTGCATCGAAGGCCCACCCGACCCGCCTGACCCCATTTTAACTAATCACATCTGCACTGACCCTATTTCCAAACAGGACCACATTCCGAGGTCCCCAGTGAACATGAATTCGGGGGACACTATTTCATCATAAAAGAGCCCCCCATATTTCTTGTCCCCTCCGTTCAGAGCAGGCCCTCACCCCAGGTTGGGGCCCCTGCCTGCTTTTCCTCGCCAGGGCTGAGGCAGGCCCAGGAGCCGTTTCCTAAAATAAAATGCACCCCCCAGCTGGTGGAACATCAGATAAGCTGAGTTCCCTCGGGACAGTCACCTACACCCCAGGGGACACCGGCTCAGAGCTTCCCTGCCTCGTAGAGATGCTTCAGGTGGTCTCGGCTCCTGGCCAACCCCTTAGTGCTTCCTGAAGGGTAGGAGCCCTCAACCCTCCCTACAGGCCGTTGAGGACCAATGTGTCGGCCCCGACAGGAAAGGCGCCGTTCGTTCCTTCGGCCGAGCCCCATGCCTCGTTCGGTGTCTTCCTGACCGACCAGCCCCTTCCCGGGAGGCCGGGCCCTCCCTCTTCGAGCCTGGGAGCCGTGGCGAGTCCTGGGCCTCCGTAACCGGCTGGCCTTTTCCAGGTTACCTGACCAAGCTCCTGCAGAACCACACAGCCTATGCCTGCGACGGGGACCGCCTGAGCCTGCAGTGCCCTCGGCACTCCACCATCAGCGTGCAGTCCGCGTTCTACGGGCAGGGCTACCGGGCCTGTAGCACCCAGCAGCCCGGCTCCCAGGGGGACGACAGCCTCGCCTGCGTGGCGCCCACCACCTTCCAGGTACTGCGCCTCGTAGATGCTGGGGATGGTCACGTGGCTCTGTCTCTGTCTCTCTTCTCTCCCTGTCTCTGTCCCTCTGTCTGTCTCTGTCCCAAGGCCCCGAGAGGAGAAGCCTTTCCCATTTCTCACACTGTTCGTTGCTTTCATTGCAAGCGTCATAGAACCTGGGTAGTCCTGTGATGGAAAAAGACACCAGCTGAGTAGCCAAAACAGTGTGTTTGCACGAACCTCCTGCCCGTGGCATCCACGTCAGCTCTGGGAGACAGCAGTCACCCCCCCTTGTGCCCCGCTCCCCACCTGGCATCTCTCCGGGAGCTCCATTCCTCACCAGCTGCCCCGGCCACCTGTCCCTGGCACCCTGGCTGACTGCCGCCCTCCTGGGCACGTGCCGACAGGGCAAGCACTGTGCCTACTTTGTAAACGTAGGAACTTCTGTCACCTGAGCTCCAAAGCATGGCCACCACCCTCCCCCCAGCATGCGGGGGACGATGCTCCCCCGACGGGCCAGGTGAGCACTTGCAGGCAGCTCTGAGGCTGGCAGGAGGGCATGGCTGCCGGAGCGTCCTGCGCTGCGCCTTCACTCCGAGAGCGGGGTCCCTGGACCCCGTGTCCTTGCACTGCGCTTGGGAGTGGGGGCAGGTGCTTCCGCAGAGGGAGCCATCCCAGCCGGACTCAGTGTCAACAGGACGTCCCTCTGCTTTTTCCACTGTAACAGTGTAGAAACGGCCCTGCCTTCAGTCTTGCTCAGTGGTTGACATGTGAAGAGCCCCTGAGAGCTGAGTCACCGGAGCCCTCAGCCATGACGATATGCGCTGTCAGCTGTGGTCCCTGGGGTCCCTCTGGGCACTTTCCCTGGTGTCACACACACTTGCTGGGGCCCTGAGGTGACGGGCGAGGCCTGCTAGGCCAGCATCCTCCGCAGAGCTGCCGTGAGAGCGTGGCCACTCAGACGTGCTCATGAACCTGGGCCACATCGGCCCAACAGTGACAGGCGGATTCTCAGGAAGCATGTCTGGTGTCCTCTGTCATGGGCAGGGTCGGGGCAGGGAAGTGGGAGACCAGCAGCAAGATGCCGGGCCTTCCTGTGACCTGGCCCACGGGCTCCGTGAGCGTCCACAGAGCAGCGAGACGCCTGGGAAAGTTGGGAGAGGTTTGAAGGACGGCTTTCAGCCACGCGCTTGGCAGTGCAGAGCCCAAGTACCCCCTAGACAACCACTCCTCGGGGAGAGGCGGGTCCATGCCCCTGTGGGTGGCGGGGTAGCTACCTGCTTTTCCATTTTCACCTGTTGGCCTGGGTCTGGGGTTGGGTCTCTCAGGGCCCCCACATGCTGAGCTCTGTCCTGTGTCTCTAAGGAGGGGAGCTATGACCAGGATTCCTGGTCCCCATAGGGCTCTCTCAGCCTTAAAGCCAGGGGACCGTTCTGGAGGGGGACCTCAAGTCCCTTCCAGTCCACGCTCTGGTCCCGCTCACGTCCCCGGAGCCTCCAGAGTGCAGCACTGTGGCCCGTCTGTGAGCAGCGGTTCCCGTCGAGGTGAACAGGGGGCTGGTGTTCTGAGGGCCTGGGCGTGGCTCCTGCTGCTTCTGGGAGGGACAGGGAGCCAGGGCCCTGCCTGGTCCCCGAGCACGTGCGACCCTCCTAGGCAGCCACGGGAGGTTTGCAGTGCGGCCCCAGGCATGGCCGCGGAGTTCCCTCCCTCCCAGGGCCCAGTGGCCCGGGCGTGGGTCGGCCGCCTCGCGGTTCACTAGCCTGTCCCTTTTCTACTCTCCTTCCAGAAGGTGTTGGACGAGTGCCAGAACCAGCGGGCCTGCCACCTCCTGGTCAACAGCCGTGTGTTTGGACCTGACCTTTGTCCAGGGAGCAGTAAATACCTCCTGGTGTCCTTTAAGTGCCAGCCTAGTAAGTAACTGCAGAGGGGACAGTGAGTGGGGTGCGGGTTCCCTGTGTCCCCCTGGAAACACTAGTGAATGGGACGTGGCCCCTCCTTCCGGGCTTTTCTGTTTGAGTGGATTTGTGTGTGTGCGCGAGTGAGTGTGCTCTGACAGTGGCCGCGTTTCGGGAAGCCCTCCTGCTGTGTAGAACTCAGTGGTCCTGAGTATCGGGCGCTAAAGGTATCGGGCAAATGCAGGGCCAGCTCCAAAGCCAGCTGAGGGCGGCCCGTGCTCCCCAGGGGCCCGGGGCCCGGCTGCTGCCCAAGCCCAGTGTGTCAGGTCTCCGTGACCCGCTGCCTCCCACCCCCACAAGCAGCAGGTGCTCCTGACGCTGGGTGTCTTCCCAGGGGACCCCGCTACGGAACCTCTTTTTCTCTGACTCCTGCTCTTTCCTCCATTGACTGTCACCGTTTCTGACACACGGCAGCTTTGGGATCAGCTCATTACAGGCCCAAAGGAGCCGTTCCTCAGCGAGCAGGGCCCCCTTCCCGGCGCCTGGGTCCCCCCGAGAGACGCCGCAGGCAGGAGCAGTGTGAAGAACCCTTAGAAAACCTGTGGGAAAGAAAGTAGGGTTTCTCGGGAGGTGTGACGGAGCTGAGCACTGTAGGGGGAGGTCTGCGGGGCACAGAAAGATCACTTTCAGAGGCCGTGGCCGAGGGAGCGGGGCTGGAGGGAGCACGCGCGCCGAGCCCCCGGCCCTGATGGCCAGGGAAGGGGTGGGCTCTCTCTGGGGCAGCATCTGAGCAGGGAGATGCTCAGGTGGGGTTGGAGCCCCCGGCTGCCCGTGGGTAATAGGTGAGGGGCAGGGCCTGTGTCCTAGTCCATCCTAGCTGCTCCACACGCTGGGTGGCATTTATTCCCTCACTGCTGGAGGCTGGGAAGGTGCCCGCAGATCCTGTGTCTCCCACGGACTCCCTTCCTCGTACATGGCTGTCATTTTGCTATAAACTCGCCTGGCAGAAGGGACAGAGAGCTCTCTGGGGCTTCTTACAGGGGCACTAATCCCATTCATGGGGCTCCACCCTCACGACCTACTCCTCTCCCAAAGGCCCACCTCCTGATACCATCATGTTGGGCATTAAGATTTCAAAATACGGCCCGGCCGGGCGTGGCTCAGCGGTTAAGCGTTGACCTAGGATCCAGGCGACCAGGGTTCGATTCCCGGTCAGGGCACATGCCCGGGTTGTGGGCTGCAGCTGATCAATGACTCTCTCATCATTGATGTTTCTAGCTCGCTCTCTCCCTCTCCTTTCCTCTCTCTGAAATCAATAAAGATATATTTAAAAAAAAAAATTTCAAAATACGAATTTTAGGGGGGCACAAACATCCCTGGGTACCCTGGGCACTGAGGTGGAGTGACAGCTCCTTTTGCTGCTGGGAAGCAGAGCTGGAGGTGAGCTTGTCCCCAGCCGCTCCTGCCTCTTCTGCAGCCGGCTCACCCGAGGCTCTTCCCCTCCACTGTCCCAGCTCCAGCTCCTGACTGACACGATTGTCTAAAGGCCCCGTGGTGCACCCAGGGTGCGTGGAGACGGCTCTTGTCCAGAGAGCCAGTTCTGCACCGTCTCTGCCCTGCCTGGGTGCTGGGGGTAGTCACACCTGGGAAACCATCAAATGCTACCAGTCAGGGCCTGTGTGCAGGTCTGATTTCAGGGGAGCTATGTTACCAGCAGTCCTCGCTAGCACCTCCTTCCCTGAGTGTGCCTCCTGCCTCCCCTCCTCCCTAAATCTCATCTCTTCAGAGAAGTTTGGTTTCGGTGAGGCTTTGGATGTAGGCAGCTCTGGGTTCATACCCCCGTCTGCTGTGTAGACTGCTGCGTGGCCTTGGACGGTGAAGGGAACCTGTCTCAGGCTCCATAACTCAAGTGTAAAAATGGAAATAAAGCACTTTCCGCATTAGGCTGTTGTGAAGACTAAAAATACAGTGTGTGTAGCATGCTTATCACGGGACCTGTCGTGGAGTTGAGCTCAGCCATTGGTAGTTATTATTCCAATAGGCGGGTTAGAGTAATTCTTACTAAAGTGTGAATGGCTGAAAGGTAGTGATAATACCAATGGTTGGGAGGGTGGGGTACGTCTGCCCTGGGGTCAGGCAATAGCAGGTGCACTGTCTGTAGAGGATTTTAAAACACTCTAAAAGTGGCTAAAATATCTATCTGTGCGGTAATCTCGCCATGCGCTGACAGCTGTGAACAGGCCCGTAGTGACATAGCCCCACCATGCAGGTCCTGCTGCTGTGCGTCATTCAAGTACGCGTCATGCACGCTGTCCCCTAACCCGTAGAATCCGCGCAGAAACTTCATTGCTATTGTCCTGTAGGCAGAGGCGTGGCTCTGCCTCCTCCCGGCCCCTGTCGCTCTCCCTGTCCAAACCCTCCGTGGCCGGCGGCGCTCCCCTGGAAGGCTGCCCACACCTGGTCTAACCCGAGACCCTCGAGCGCTCCCCCAGCTCCGAGACAGGTTCTTGTTCTCTAAGAAAAGCAGCACCTTTGTCAGTGGCCCCATTGTCTTTAGAACCCAGAAGTGTCACCGTTAGGCGACCGTGAGTTAGCACATTCCCAAGGAACCGAGTGACTCAACATGACACGACAGTCACCCCAGGCCTGTCACGGGACACTCACAGCCCCTCCGTTCCAGGAGGTGATTTGCCCGTAATCTGGGGGCCCATCGCTGGAGGCCGGCCACGCGGGTGTTGTGTTACCCGGAGAGCCCGGCTGGCTTCAGGGACTGGGCCTTAACACTTCAGGGTGGCTAATCGATGTGCTCGTTGCATGCCTTAAAAAAAGAAAACTCTCACAATTTACAAAATCCCGAAAGAGAAAGAAGGAAGGAAGGGCGAGGGAGAAAGAAACCATTCCCGTGAAAGAGTCTCCAGTTTCCGAGATAAGCCCTGGTTTTGGCCCCACCGCCCCTGCCCTCCTCTTTGGCGAGCTCTGCCCCTGGGAGGCATTCTTCACATTTTTGGGTGTTCTCCCGGTGGGGAGGGTGCTGGGCTCCTTCGGTGTGTCTCCCCAAGCCCTGCGCTCAGCATCAGAGCCATCGCTCAGGCCGGGCCTTTCAAGTCAGGCAGGATTTCGGGGCTTGGTGGGATTTGGAGTTTGCTCATGAAAAGCGCGGAGGGGCGCCCACCCCGCAGACTCCCGAGCCAGCCTCCGGTGTCATGGTTATTTAGAAAAAGTAAACAAAACTCCTCTTGGCTCTGAGTTTAACCTGTTAGGTTAAGATTCCAGTTCGTGGGTAAAGGGCATTAACATTTGCTTAGTCACCCCTACCTTTGCCCTGCCCTGCTGGATCCCACGCGTGTCCAGACGCAGCGAGGAGGGGGCTTGTGAGCACCTGGACCCTGCTTTCTGCTCCCCACCTTTTGTCTGTGTCCAGGGTTCCCATCGTCCGCGTTAAAGAGCGCTGAGCCCATGGGAATCCGGAGACCCTAACGCGTCCTCCTCGGACAGCCGCCCCCAAGTTTGGGCTCACTGCCACTTTTCTGTTTGGGGAAGAAAGGCAGGGAAATTGACAAATTATAGGAAGGTGGAGTTTGTATTTGGAAATCATTTGCTTTTGTGTTTTCAGTTTGGGGCTTAAGCGTCATCGATTCCAGGACACGAAGGTCCCACGGCCACTGTGGCCCCAGTGTGGCCGCTCACGCCCTCTGCAAGGCTTCCGGGGGGCAGTCAAGTAGGTTTGATTGCAGCCCAGAGTAAGGAGAACATTCTCCACTGGGACCCAATAAAATACACAACCAAAAAAAAAATTCTTAAAACAATTTCTAGGCTGTTCTTTATGTCTTAAAATCACTGGTCACAGCACACTAGGCTGATTTCATGACCCGTTAAGGGGCCTCGGACGAGACCTGCACAGCTTTGCTCTGAGTGTGTTGGGGGCCCAGGGTCCGCCCGCGCCGGCCCTGGGCGGTGCTCACCGTGGGAGCTGACGTTGCCGCCGGTTTTGTCTCTGCTCCAGATGAACTGAAAAACAAAACCGTGTGCGAGGACCAGGAGCTGAAACTGCACTGCCACGAATCCAAGTTTCTCAACATCTACTCCGCCACCTACGGCAGGAGGGCCTGGGATGGGGACCTGTGCGCCTCGGAGGCACCGCGGCTGCCCCCCTTCGGTAGGTGTCTCCACGCGGCCGTCGTCGGGGCTGCTGCCCCTTGGGGAGGGTTCCTTGGTGTGGCCTGTACTGGGTCAGAGGGAGAGTCGAGGGCAAGGAGGAACCAGCCCCACGGGGGGCCTCCTGCTGGCCCACATCCCTACATCCACCCGCCTTCCAGTCGTTCCACACTGAGCAGTTTCTGAGCGCCTGCTGCATACAAGGCCCTGTCCTAGGCACCGGGACCAACACGGAGTCCACACGGAGCTGACCTCCCAGCAGCAGACAGGGAGGCTGTGAGAAAGCAGATAATATGCAGGCAAATGTGCTATATTTCAGGTGCAGATAAGCACTCAGGGGAACAGCTCATGGGGGAGGTGGTAGGGGAGGTAGGGAAGGTGGGGGCGGCCGCAGAGAGGCGCAGGGTTATGGAGTGATGGGCATGCTGAGCAGAGGAGAAGCTGCAGATACCTGGGGAAGGTGTCCAGGTAGAGGCGGAGCCAGGGAGGGCCCTGCGGCTGTGTTCAGGGTGAGGAAGGGCCCAGCCAGTTGTCTTCCTTAGAAGTCTGCAAATTGGAGCTAAGAGATTGTGGCCCAGATTCAGACCTGAGAGCCCCACCTATCACCTCACCCTCTATATTATTAGTCAGTGTTCTCCAGGGAAACAGAGCCCATAGAGAGATGGAAAGAGAGATCAATCTTAAGGAATTGGCTCACATGCAGTGTGAGGGCTGCAAGTCTGAAATCTGCAGGGGAGCCTGCAGTCCAGAAACCCAGGTAAGAGTTGATGTTCAGCTTCGAGTCTGACTCTGCAGGACAGTGGGCTGGAAGCCCCACGCCGAATTTCTGTTTGCCGCCTCGAGAAAAATTTCTTTTTGGAAAACTTTAGTCTTTGCTCTTAAGGCCTTCAACTGATTGGTCGAGGCCCACCCACACAATGGAGGGTAAGCTGCTTTACTCAAAGTCCACTGATTTAATGGTAGTCATATTTTTTTTTTAAAGAATAGTTTATTGACTTTTATTATTATTATTATTTTAGAGAAAGTGGAAGGGACGAAGGGAGGGAGACAGAGAGAGAGAAGCATCGATGTGAGACACATTGATTGGTTGCCTCCTGCAGGCGCCTCAACGTTGGCCAGGGATTGAACTTGCAACCCAGGTACATGCCCTTGACCAGGAATCGAACTCGAGATCCTTCGGTCCGTGGGCTGATGCTCCAACCACTGAGCAACACCAGCCAAGGCAGTAGTCACATCTTTAAAATACCTTTGCAACAAATCTAGACTGGTGTTTGACCAAACAACTGGGCCCCGGAGCCTAACTAAAAATAACCATCACACACCCTGATCTGTGGTGGTGACACAGCCTGGTCTCTACCTGCATCTTACCGGAGAGAATAGGTCCCACCGTAGAACAGCCCAAGGCCTTGCGCTGTGTTCATCAACATCTAAAACAAGCTGCGTAAAGCGTTACATTGCTACAGTTTTTTCATGGATCACATGTGAAATGAAACATTAATTTTTAAAAGACACTCACGTATAAATAATATCTTGGGCCTGAGAAGAAGAACCTAAAATGACCTCACCTCACAGGTGGGCTCCCACCCGAGGCCCGTGAGAAGACAGAAAGGGGTTCCCAAGGGGCAGGTGCCACCAAGGCCCTGAGCCAGTGTCCGGGAAGGACGGCCTCTGTCACGATCACACAGGATCTTTTGAAGGCGAACCACACACAAAGGCAGGCCGGGGGGTGGGGGGCACCCAGCCTCTCTGCATTAGGTCTGGGGGAGAGGCCTCCGCTCGGCTGGCCCGGCTGCCAGGAGGGGCAGAGACGACCGGCACACCCTCGGCCCCGTGCCCCGCCGGGGACCTGTGAGTTCCGAAACTCCCTTCTCCCTGTGTGTGTTCAGACGTCACCGCCCCTCCTCCCTCGTCCCTCTTACTGCGTCAGGACAAGGGACCACTGCCTGGTCATTGCAGGCGTCTCCCTGCTCCAGGGTGGCCTCTGTCCCCAGGGTGGCGGAGGAGCATCTGCTCACAGCCGTCCCGAACACCTGCAGGGACTCTGGTCTCCTCAGCTGGGTGAAGCTCCCTTGGGGATCTGACCTCTTTCTGGAAAAGGGACCCCACTTCTTCCTGTTGGGACGAGGCGCCTTTCGCGGGCCTGCAGAGTCTAGCGCAGCCCGTGGGTTTTGTCGGGCAGCAAGGAGCGGCTGCTTCAGCGATCGCCGAGCAGACGGGTCGGGCGGTGGGCAGGCCACCCGCAGGCTGCGCGGTTCACGGTCAGCACCGGCGCCCCACGTCCCTGGGAAGCCGGACGGGGTTCGTTTTAGAGGGAAAGGTAATCAGCCGAAGAAAACGCTAGACACCGGGCTAAAGGACAGGTCTCCGGAGAGTTCGAGGGGCCCTCAGGTCAGCAGCTGCTCTGACGCCACGTGGAACCCTGTGGACGCGGGACAGGCCGGTGGCCTGCGAGTGGAAGGCGGTGCCCCTCGCTTAGCTGTTCAGTTGTCAAAGCTTGAGCCCTGGCGGAGTCTCAGCGGGAAAAGGCTGCTCGTCCTTCCCCAGGCCCCTCACCCCGCCCGGCACAGCCCAGTGCTCTGTCCATCACCCAGGAACCCGCGAGGCTCGGGATCAGGCTCTTCACTGCGTTCACGGGCCACCGGCACCCTGGGGCCCTGAGCTGTGCGGCGGAAAGAGGCTCAAAGGGAACAAGGGAGACCTTGCGGGTCCCCAGTTCACCTCCTCGTCTTGAGGGTCCCAGTTCATCTCCTCGTCTTGAGGGTCCCAGTTCATCTCATCGTCTTGAGGGTCCCAGTTCACCTCATCGCCTTGAGGGTCCCAGTTCATCTCATCGTCTTGAGGGTCCCAGTTCACCTCATCGCCTTGAGGGTCCCAGTTCACCTCACCCTCCAGTGTATCTCACATGAAGGAGCCTCCGCTCTGCCCTCGCCTCTCAGGTTAGCTAAAGGGCAGAACTGGGCTGTGCTCGCTGATACGTTTTCTCAATCTAACTGCTAAGAAATTGGTGACTTCTCGGCCCAGGTAACTGTGTGTGAAGGTTTTAAACGGCACTTGGCAGGCTCACTCCACAAAATCATCAGCTCATCCCTCTCATATAAACGCATTTTCATTTCTCCCACCTGACAAAGTATGGTCTTGACCGCTCTCTCCCACTGGTCACCCATCCGCGCCCTCTGCAAGTCCAGTGGGCTCTGCCCCCACCAAGTGTCTCGAATCCAACCACTTTGCTCCCAGCCTACTCCAGGGATCTTTCACCGGGCCCATCCTGGCCTCCTCCTGACTGGTCTCTGGTCTCCCCTCTTCCCAATTTCCTCTGAGCCTTAGTCCTTTCTTCACTTAGCAGCCAATGAGATTTTATTTAAATTAAGTCAATCACATCACCCAAAGCTCTCCACTTTGCCCCTTGTATTAAAATAAATCCAGTTCCAGCTATGGCCTGGCCTCTCTCTCTCATCCCTTCGCTACCTCTGGAGCATTTCACACTCATCCGTACCCCAGGACCTTTGCACAAGCTCTCCTTTTGGCCTGGAATGTTCTCTGCACATGTCTTTGCATGGCCAGCTCCAAACTCCATCTCATCATTTGGGCATCAACTCAGATGTCGTCTGAGAGGGGTTTCCCAGGGCACCCTGCCAGCACAGCACCTCGAGCCTGCAGTGTCTCGAGCTGTGCCCAGTGCGACTGTCTTGATAGCATGGAAGGCGTCACCTCTGTGCCCGTGGCTTAGCTCCCCAGGAGAAGGCAAGCGCTCGGAGATGGTATCTGTGCCTCTCCTGCGGGTTCCCCAGCAGCGAGAGCAGCGCCTGGCGCGGAGCGGGTGCCCGCGTGCGTGCTGGGATGCGTGAATGAGTCCGAGCCCTCCCGAGCGCGGCGCCTGCCTGGGCTGCTGCGGCGGATGGTTGCCGGCCCGGAATGTGGGCCTGGTGTCGTCACAGCTCCCAGCCTCTCACGAGATGCTGGAAATCCATTTCTGTTTTCTTTTCATGTGAAATGTTCCAACTTTCAATACACCGTGTGAGCCAAACAAAACATGCCGACAGGCCACATCCGGGCCACAGCTGCCAGTGTGTGATCGCCGCTCGCAGTTCCCAGTGTGACTCAGCCCGCGGCTCTGGAGAAGGGGACAGGACTGCCTTTTCCTACCCCAGAAGCACAACCTTGTGGGATGATGCCTAAGGGCCGAGGCCTCGGGAGGGTCATGTGCTCTTTGCTTTTTGCGTAGATGCTAAAGGCCGGTACTGCCCACGGGCTTGAGGGCCTGGGTGCCCCCTGGGAGCACACACGGTGGAAGGAAACCAGCTGGGCCTCAGTGGTCAGGCAGCTCCGCTGAGCGGCTCTGGCCCTCGGACACCGGGCGAGCATGCCCAGGCCTCTCTAAAGGACGGTTGTTATGGTCTCACAAGCACCATGACAACATGTCACAGAAACAGGAGAAAGGCTCAGTCACAAAGTTTACCCACCCAGTGAAAAGGTTTTTGTTTTTTGTTAAACCCCATCGGAGGCTATTTTTTCCATTGATTTTCAGAGAGAATGGAAGGGGGGGCAGAGAGAGAGAAACATCCATGTGAGAGAAACACATTGATTGGTTGCCTCCCACATGCACCCCGACCAGGGCCAGGGATCAAATCTGCAACCCAGGTACGTGCCCTTGACCACGAATCGATCCTGTGACCCTCCGGTGCATGGGCCAGTGCTCTAACCACTGGGCAAACCGCCAGGGCCGGAACAGCATCTTTTTCCCCCTCTATGTCTTTTATTAATTTCAGAGAGAGGAAGGGAGAGGGAGAGAGAAACATCAATGATGAGAGAGCGTCACTGATCGGCTGCCTCCTGCATGCTCCCTGCTGGGGATCGAGCCCGCAACCCGGGCACGTGCCCTGACTGGAAATCGAGCTGTGATCTCCTGGATCCTCAGTCGATGCTCCGTCACTGAGCCACGCCGGCCTGGCTGGAGCAGCATCTTAACACAGAGGGAGGGAACCTCCCTGCAGACCTGCCATGAACCGGAAAGCAGGTCTTCAGAAGGGTCCCCCGCGGGGCGTCCACTGTGACACACCATTTCCTGATGCAGTTACGTTTTCTGGGTGTACCCCCGGGATTCTGCTATTTCCTTAATCAGACAATGAGAAAACCACCTAATGGCCTCCAAGGCGGAGCGAAGGCCATCCCAAGGCCAAGTGTGGGCAGGCCCAGACTTTTCAGTCGAAGATCAAGGTGCCAGGGGCTCCCACTGCCAAACAGCCACTGAAAAGCAGCCAGCCTCATTATCTGAGTAAACACGGGTTATAAAGAGCGATTAACTCCAGTTTCAGTGTTAAACAGTAGCCAAAAACCCAAAAATTAAATGGTGGAACATCTTGTTATCACACGTATTGGGGTGGAAGGTAGTTGGCCAGGAAGAGCGAGCGCAAACAAAGTCAGGCTGGGGGGGGAACAGCCGCTTTAAGATTATATATCCTACGCGCGCGTTCCCAGCTCAGCATCGGCCAGGGTGTGGTCAGACCTGAGTCAGACCCCAATTACCTCGGGCGTCTTTCTGAAAACTCACTNTGGGCGTCTTTCTCAAAACTCTGTGGTCCTTTCACTCTCAGCAGGATAAATTCCTTCGCTCCCAGGGTGACCAGGGTGCCCCCGTAAGTCACACTGCCCCCAGACCTCCTGGGAGAAAGGGCTGGGGTCTTATCAGCGGGAGTCTTTAGTTTTCCTTCCTCTGTTAGCCTTTAAGGACGTAGCCAGGCAGGCGTCCTAAGGAAATGCCGTATTCCTGGGGCACGCTTATGCAATTCCAGCAGGAACGGGAAGCGCTATAGCTTTTCTGGGGAACAATTTTTTCTGGGGATCGTGTGTCAAAGCCTCCCAATTCTGAATAGCCTTTGACAAAGCTATCAGCTGCCCAGGATTCCTGTGGAAACCATTGTGAGCAAATGTTTGACTCTAAGGATGCGCGACATAGAATCGTTTATAATATTTAAAAAATGGAAATCATTTGAGTGTCTACAGTAGGGTATTATAAGTAGAGCTGGCCCATCCATACAATGGAAAACTACACAGCTCTTTAAAATGACGTTTGTGGCCCAGCCGGTGTGGCTCAGTGGTTGGGGCTGTGGGCTGGATCCCGGGGAGGGGGTGTCGTGCCGGAGGCAGCCGATCAGTGACTCTCTCTCATCACTGATGCTTCTATTTCTCTCTCCCTCTCCCTTCTTCTCTCTAAAAAAAATCAATAAAAACACTAAAAATAAATACATAAAATGATGTTTATGTTAAAATTTTCACAAATATATCAATGAACAGAAAAAGAGTCGCATGCAAAGTACCATGCACGTAACAGCACTGAGGGGAAGGGTGTTTACACATAGAAAAGTGACCAGGAGGATGTTCTTTAAAGGCTGTTTTTTCTCGATGGTGGGATTTACTGGGAATTTTAATCTTCCTAGTCTGGGCTTATCTGTGCTTCTCAAGTTTTCAACCACAAACGTACTTACTTTGTCACAAAAAGAACAGTAAGTTATGTTTTAAAATATCAGGCTTTAAAAAATAATTTTATATTTCAGACTTTTTACATTCAGACCTTTATGCATTTACATATATAACATGTATGTTCCTTTGCAAGGTCTCCAGCACTCCTCCGTTCCCTGCCCCGCAAGCCCTCGGCTCCTCCCAGTTGCATGATCAAAACTGCTCCCGAACTGGACTCCCTGCCTTTGGCTCCCTTTCTCTCCCAAGGGACCCTGCACACTGTCCCCAGAGGACGCTCGCATCAGGCCTTTTTTAAGGTTCCCTGTTGCTGGCAGAAGGAGGTCGAGCGTCTTTGGCTAAGCACCCAGAGGCCATCTCTGTCTAGCCCCTGTTCACCTTCAGGCTTGTTCGCGGTGGCTTCCCTGCCACACGTGCTGCTCCAGCTCAGGCTCAGCCTGGGACTCCCCCGAAGTGCTCCTGGCCCACCTGCCTGGCTTCAGACCTTCCCTCTTGCCTGCTCGGCCCACTCCCTCTCCCTTCTCCCACGGTCAAGCCCTTCTCCCCGTGGCCCATCCCCGCCGCTCCGGCCCACGGCGCTCGCCCCCACCTCCTGCCCCAGCCCCTCGTCTGGGCCACTCCCTGTCTCACGTAATTAGACTTCGGGCCGCGCGTGGGCCTGTCTCTCCGGCTCCATTACAGGTTTGGGATGCGAGGAGGGCTCTTCCCGCCCTGCTTTTCTGACAGCGCCCAGCTCAGTGATTGTCTCCGGTATAGGTTCTATTAATATTTACTGGTACGAAACAAACACAGAAGCATGTCGCCGTGTTTGTTTATTTCATTCACCTACTCATCATCGTTATTACTGGATTTCTGCCGAGGGCCAGGCTGTGGGAATTAGAAAATGGACAAAACAGAAAGCGTCCCACCCTCGCGGAGCTTATGTCCACGGAGGGGAAACAGTCTCAGTAGAAACGAGTAAAATAGTTTGAAGAGCGGTAAGGGTTGTGAAAGACGTAAGAACCTTCGTTCAATGCTGTGCATGTTTCGCCTGCTTTCTGTGCAGAGCCCGTTGCACAATTGGTGGGACCTGGTGCGAAATGGAGACGTAGGCCCTCGTTCAAACGATGTGAGAATTTCGGGGTGGCCACAGCAGGGCATGGAGGCCGGGGCAGGCCCTCCCGCTCTGCCCGCGAGACCAGCGGCTTCCGTGGGATTCCGCCCACGTTGGGGGCTTTCCTGAGGCAGAAAGTCATCAGAGCAGCCGTCCCCGTGAGACGCGAACCCAGCTCGGGGTGTTTGCCTCCAGGAGGCAGCCCAGGCGGCCTGGTGGCCGCCTGTGGGACGCCCCTGAGCTGTCCCTGCTGTCCCCTCCCTTTCAGACTGCCTGTCTCACTCCGCGGTGCACGTGCTGGCCCGGAGGTGCTACGGGAGGCAGAGATGCAGAATCCTGGTCAACAACCTCCACTTCGGGAGCCCCTGCCTGCCTGGGGTGAAAAAGTACCTCACGGTCACCTATGCCTGCGGTGAGAATGTGCCCTCGGCGAGGGCGGCTGCTGGGGGGGGGCTGGCCACCGGCCTCGTGACCCAGCTCCTGAGATGTCAGGCCACATAGTCCAGAGCCCCTCTCTGCCCTTCATTGCTGTTTAGGACACTCACAGCAGATAAGCAGCAGAATTTTCTCTCGTCCAGCTCTGTGTGAAAGCCCCTTTAGCAATCAGAGGGGCAGCAGACAGGAAGGCCAGGGGAGGAACAAAGGGTGGCGCTGATGTCGCCGAGAAGAGCGCTTCGCGTCCGGGCTCCGAGGAGGCTCCGGCATTTATGGGGATGCCCTGCGAGGTCCCAGAGGCACCGCCGTGTGCCCCGCCTGCTTTTAGGCCCCAAACCACTAACTCTGCGCTGCCAGCAGCCGCCTGCCCACGTTCCCACGGCGAGGGGCCCACAGGTCCGGAGCTGGCCCCGAAACACTGAACTGTGACGTGACCCTGTTGCCCGAGCGTCTTCAAATAACAGCACGCAGTGCCTGGCTCAGATTCCAGTTTTATGAAACGACTTAAAAGGAAATCGGCCGTGCCCTGGCCGGTTCGGCCCGGCGGTTACAGCATCGGCCTGCGGACTGAAGGGTCCCGGACTTGATTCCGGCCAAGGGCACGCGCCTCAGTTGCAGGCTCGATCCCCGGCCCGGCCAGGGAGCATGTGGGAGGCAGCCAATCGACGCTGCTCTCTCTCCCCCTCCCTTCTTTCTCTGAAAAGCAATGGGAAGAATATCCTCAGGTGAGGGAGAAAAAAGGGAAATCAGCAGTTAATTATTCTCTGGGGGTAAGGTGGGTCTCCAGTTTGAATCCTACCACATGGATGACGCCGGGCACTGTCCCATAGACCCGGATACCTGTGCTCATGGAAACCTTCCCCCAGATTCCCTGGGCTGTTTTGGTGCCAGTTTTGTTGAGATATAATTTACAGATGGTGCAATTCACCTGTTAAGCAAACAAGTTGATGGCTTTAGTACATGGTCACAGAGAAAACCCTGTGCCCTCCAGCGGGCAGGTCTGCCCCCACCCTAAGCCTGCCCCCACCCTAAGCACCCAGCGGCCTGCGGCCTGTCCTTACGGATTTGCCTCCTCGGGACAGTTTATGTAAACGGGTTGAACCACATATGGACATGGCTCTGTGACTGGCGTCTTCACCTGGCATGGGGTACACGTGTGGGAACGTCAGTCCTTGTCGCCACCGAATAATATTCCGCCACATCCCCAGCCTGTGTGCCCCGAGCTGACGGTGTCCTCGGCAGTGTCAACGCTCTAATAGGTACAGTGACATGACTATATGGCCGTATCCCCGAAATCCTAGCCCCAGACGTGGGTTCCGGGAAACACGGTTCACGTTCCCCGCCCCCGGGAACAGACGCCTACACAGACGACACTTCTAATGACCTCTGAGTGGCCGGCACTTTAAAAATACTCCCCCTGCCGATGGCCCTTCGCTGTGAGACCCGAGTCATTGCAAGTGGCTTGCAGCGTCTGCACACGTCGTATGTTACTAAGTGGGCGTGAAATAGTCCACAGTTTTAGAGAATTCCCCCAGCCGATGTGGAGTTGATCGGAAGATTCCAGAGGAGGTCAGTAATGAATTTTCAGGCGAATCTGTCTTGTTAGGACTCTGGACGTGAGCACGGGAACTAATTGGAGCTGGTTTAAGCCAAAAGGGGTTGGAGTGGGAGGCGTCGGGCGTCTAGAGGGCCATCCTCAGAGGCCAGGGCCCGAAGGAGGGGCCTCAGGGTAGGGCTGGCCCAGGAAACCAGGAGATGCAGCCACCTCCCGGGTCTGTCTCTGCGGCTCACAGCACCTCTGCTCCTGATTCCCGACTCTCCCTCTCCTCTGTCTCTGTCTCTCTGTCTCTCTGTCTCTGTCTCTCTGTCTCTCTGTCTCTCTCCCTCTCCTACTGCAGGCGGCCTCAGAGCCCAGGCTGCATGGCACACAGCCACCCCCACAGCCGCAGGTGGTTTTTATGTTATGGTCCCAACAGTATGAAGACTTGCAGTCTGACCGTCTTAATTCCAAATCTCTAACAGGAGGATAGCTAATTGACTGGGCCGGGATCGGTCAGCCCTGGCCGCAGACCCCGTAACAGGATTATCAGCATGACCACCAGAGAGGGTCTAGCTAACCCCACCGAGTCAAGATGCTCTTACATAAGAGGGTCAGAGAAGATGGACCCCATAGGTGTCTGTTCCCATACCTGCCTCTCGTCACAGCCTCGCCTCGGGCTTAGCTGTTCTACCCAGCGATCTTGCTGTGCCAACCCAGGGGACACCCCACCTGTGAGCAGAGGGGAGGGTCCATCGGGGACAAGTGATGGATGTCAAGCAGGTCTTGCTGTGGGTACCTCATTTCTATAGAAATACATGGTCCCATCTCCCAAATGCCCAGGTGGGGCGGGGCTGGGTGGGGCAGGGCCGGGCTGCCTGACCATAGCTGGTCCTTGTCGCACAGCCGGCCAGAGGATTCTAGAGGCTGAGCACCAGAAGGGCAGAGGCCATGGAACCACCACCCTGTGGGTCATAAAAGGGATTGGAGAGCATGGCAGCCTCTGGCCTGACTCATGCCCACGTTTATCAAGCGCCAGCTCTGAGCCAGGCATGGGGGTGGGAAATTCTGATGACCAATATGACCCTGTTCTCACAGCCTGTAGGACAGAATGTAGTGAATTCCCGGCTCTGGGGACTCAGGAAACCCGGAGGGCTTCCCAGGGGAGGTGATGTCTGAGTCGAGGGAGGTGACGGATGTGTAGGAGTCAGCCCAGTGCCGGGGGAGGAGGGAAGGGCAGGCCGAAGGCCCTGCACAGGGAGAAGCTGGGAGGAGAGAGCGGGGCAGGACTGGAGGGGCCTGGCTGGATGGTTAGGGCTTGGCTTCCTCAAGGGCCATGGAGAGAGAGCCACTGAAAGATTTTCTCAGGGGATGCAATCAATTTGCATTTTTAAGAAGAGCACGCCTCCTATTTTATAGAGCTTCCTTTAATCCTGGCTCCCTCCCTCGGCTTCCAGGCCGGATGGAAACTCCAGCATCATCCTGTGCCCTCAGGGGAATGATTCAGGCTCTGGGCCTTTTGCTTTTCTGACCTTTGGCACATCTGGCCGACGTCAAACCTCTCTGGGCACGGAGCCCTTGGTCACTGGTGGGCTGGTAGGTGCATCGCTCGAGGCCTCCACGCACCGCTAACTGGGTCCTCTTCTCTGTCCCTCCGAGTCTGACTTTTAACCACACTTCTGGACACACCGGACTTTAGATTTTCCTCTTAAGAGGACAGGAGGCCTGGAGAACTCAGCCAGCTTCCCCTCACCTCTGTGGGTGGCTTCTCTCCGTGTCCACAGCCATGGGTCCCGCAGAGTCACCAGCCTGGCGGCACAGCAGCATCCTCCCCCTCGCACCCCCAGCCCCTGGGCACAGACATCCTGTGGGCCTCGGCCCGGCCAGGCAGCTCCCGGGAACACAGGCCAGGGCGACTGGTCCCGGACTGGGGGACGGGAGAAAGTTCACGTGCAGAGTCAACAATGTCACGGAAGCATAATTTATACACTTTAAGATTCACCCACTTCAAGTAAAAACAATGTATCGGTTTCTAGTCCCTCCGCAGAGCTGCGCGACCCTCACCTCGCTGCAACTTTAAAACGTCGCCACGATCCCCAGAAGCTCCTCGTGCCCACGGTGGTCGGTCCCCTTTCCCAGCCCGGTCCTGGGTAACCCCGAGTCTACTCCCTGTCTCTGCAACTTCACCATTTCTGGTGATTTCGTGTTAACCCTTTCCGGTCATATGTCTGCTCTCAGCCACCACAGCCAGGAACCTTACGAATCTTAACTCTATTCATTCACGTATCAGTTCATAATTTCTCTTGCTTATCCTTCATAATCTTGCATGTTATGTATCACTGCTCTTTCAATGGAAATTAATTCCGACCAGTACGACACCCATGTCCAAATTTAATACGACCGCAAAGGGTTGGTGGAATCTGACAACACCTGGTCTTTTTTGTGTGGCTTCTTTACTGAGTGTCCTGTTTCTGAGGTTTGTCCACGTTGTAGCATAAGTCATATTCTACAGATAGAGATACTGTATTTTGTTTATTTATTCTCCAGGTGGTTGTTTTTTTTTTAATACTGCAGAATAGGCCTAAAATGACCTTCCTGGTGTTTTTGACGATCACGCAGGTGCCACTGGTGTGTGTGTGAGTGTATTTGACAAGCAGTGATTAATGTACTGATTTTCATTTTTTAAAATTTTTTTTTAATGTTTTTATCGATTTCAGAGATGAAGGGAGAGAGAGAGGTGAAGGGGGGACGTCAATGGTGGGAGAGTCATTGATCGGCTGCCTCCTGCGCGGCCCCTGCTGGGGATCGAGCCCTCAACCCGGGCCTGTGCCCTGACCGGGAATCGAGTGGTAATCTCCTAGTTCATGGGTCCACACTCAACCACTGAGCCATGCCCGCCGGGCAAATGTACTGATTTTCAAATTGATTTTTTAATCTTATCTAATTGCATTTAAAGTATGTAGTAAATGTACAAAATCTTTAAAACATTTCTTTTTGGATTTTAGTTCCCAAGAACATACTCACAGCGATCGACCCGGCCATTGCAGACCTGAAACCTTCCTTGAAGCCGGACGGTGGCTATGGTAATTTTCATGGCTAACTGCCAGCATCTAAGTAAAGTGACCGGCCATGTGGCCGAGGGAAAGGGTGTCACAGGTGCCATGATGAGTGGCTGCAAACAGGGCCAGTGTTCCATTCCAGTCTTATTTCCTAAAAGAAAAATCCAGTGGACAAACACATCTGCACAGAACTAGACGCGGGAATTCGACAATGAGCTTTCTGGAAAGGTGACCCGCTGGGCACCTGGCTGCCACCTTCCTCCGTAGCCCTCACTGGACTCTTGCACGTAGTGGGGTGAACACTGGGGCCTCCCTGTCAAACCCAGGATGGAATTCTGAGCCTTGGGCTCCTGATGAAAACTGTCGAGCATCTAAGACATTGGGCTTTGGCTGGTGAAAGTTTTGTTTTGTGTTTCTTTTATAACATATAGGAGGTCTTTCCCCCCTAAATACATAAAGTATCCCCGATGTGGAAAACACAGGAAACCGCCAAGCAATGGGAATGACCCCCAGCCTCAAAGCTTAGAGATCATATCCTCAGTGTCCTCCAGCTCCCCCCAGGCTGCCCTCTCTAATCCCATGACTATCCGGGTCCCCCCACAGCAGAGGCCTCCAAGCTCCGTGCCCCCCTTCCTCAGAGACCCCAGGGGTCTCCAGAGCCCCACAGCTGGCCCATCCAGAGCTCCCAAGCCATCCCTGAAGTTTAACCAGGCACCTAAAACCAGGCTGCCCTACATTTTACTGTCATTAAAAAAACAAAAAGTAACCCACCCTGGCTGTTGTTGCTCAGTGGTTAGAGCATCGGCCTGGGCACCGAAGGGTCAAGGGTTCAATTCCTGGTCAAGGGCAGGTACCTGGGTTATGGGTTCGATCGCTGGCCCTGGTCAGGGCGTGTGCTGGAGGCAACCAATCGACGTGTCTCACACATGGATGTTTCTCTCTCTCTCCCTCCCTCCCTCCCTGCCACTCTCTCTAAAAATCAGTGGAAAAAATACCCTCAGGTGGGGATTCACAACAAAACATAAGAAAATGAAGGAACCCAGCAGTCCCTCCACAGCCCGAGGCTGGTCTTATCTGCTCTCAATAGGACACTATCAGGCGTGACGGGCGCCAAGGCCCCGGGGTGGGAAAATAAACGCTCCCTTCCTGCAGTGGAGCTGTGAGCGGCACCTGGAGTTGGACCCAGCACGGTTCAGAATTTCTAAACCCCTTTATCGTTTAATGTACTCAGGGACTCCTGACCCAGGGCTCTTCCTGGCTTCGTCTCTGATGCTTTTTTGTTGTTAATTCTCACCTGAGGATATTTTTCCCCCATTGATTTTTAGAGACAGTGGAAGGGAGTGAGATGGGGGGTGGGGTAGAGAGAGAAACATCAATTTGTTGCCTCCCGAATGCGCCCCAACCGGGGCCGGGGATCAAACCTGCAACCCAGGTACAATTCCCTTGACTGGGAATCGAACCCGAGACCCTTTGGTATGCGGGCCGACGCTCTAACCACTGAGCATGCTGGCCAGGGCGGTCTTTGATGTCTATGACTTTTTATTTATTATAGTTGCATACAGTGAACAACTGGGATTAATCGGTCCTGCATTTATTTTATTTTTTCTATGAAACAGGTGTAAACTTTGACCCAAGCGAGTCGAGGGTTCTGAGGAAAGACGGGGTTCTGGTCAGCAGCTCTCTGGCAGCCTTTGCTTACATTAGAGGTAGGTCGGTGGATTGAAGCTTCCTAGGAGGGCGGTGGATTCACTGACTCTTGCTGGCAAACGCACTGCTTCATTGCAACGTTCAGCTAAAGAAAAATGGCTCCAGGTTTGACACGGCAACCGTAGTCTCCTGAGATCTGGAAGCAGAGGCCCGAGTTCAGGTTCAGCTCCAGCCGAGCTGCCAGCAAGAGAACGGCCTGGGGAGGCAGCCGACAGACGGCGTCGCTCTGTATAGGAGCCGGGCTCGGGGGGTGTTTTCTGCTTTGAAAACTAGGATCCAGAGGAAAGCATTTCCCAGCCCGAACACTGGGAAGGGCCTCGGATTAGTGAATTCCACCCTCGGCTGGAAGAAAACTGAGCCAAAAGATCACTTAGTCAACAAGCAGGTCGTGCCCTGTGCAGACAGAGTCCCTCCTGAGTCACCAGAGTTACTTCCTGCGGTTGCCAAGGTTTCGCTGGATAATCTTCCCCCCGAGGACCAATGGGGCGCGGGCCTCGCACTGGCAGAGCCAGGCTGGCGCTCTGCGAGGGCCAGGCCCCGTCTGCCCTCCCCGGAGCACAGGCCACAGTTTGGAACGGTGACGGAGATGCTGCGAGTTCTAGCAGCACCTGACTGCGCCCCGGGAGCCAGGCCCCCTGGGGCCTTCTGCAAAGTGCACGTTAACATAGCGCCGCGGGTCTCCCCTCGGGCCTGCGGGCGCGGCTGTTCCAGGTGAGCCTCCCAGGAAAACAGCAGCGGCCTTGCTGCCCTTGGCCGCCCCGCTGTCTCCCTGCGCCACGTCCCTGAGTCCTGCGTGGTCACCGGTTTCCTCTGAGAAACTTCTCTCCTCTAACCACGCGCCCTTTCCCATTTCTTGGTGTTCCCACTAACTGTCCAAGACGTAAGGATTTTTATGGTCAGAAATATCGTCCCCCCGTTTTCAAAGTCCCTGGACAGCCCCTTGGAGGAAATCATCCTGAAAACCCTTCCAGCGGAAAATGAGGATTCCAGGGTCAGGACTTGATTTCTGGCCTAGGACAGGAGGGCGACCATCTGTTAAGCGGGGCGGTGATGGGACCCGGTGTGCATTTTATTTTTTAATTTAAAACATTTTTTTTAATCGTCACCCGAGGATATTTTTTCCATTGCTTTTCAGAGAGAGAGGCGGGGGGGGGG